CCCTTAAAGCAAACATTTCAATAAATGTACAAGTCTTTATGAATACATTTCTGACCTGTCACAATATACAGCATCATTTTTCAAACACCTCTATTATCATAAAGAACCTGCCCATTAGCCCCAGTGCAGTGACTTTGTCTAGGCTGAGATGATGTCATCACCCTGCTGCAGGCAGGAGGAAGCACTTCCTCAGTCTCCCCCCCCCCCTCACCCCCAGTGATCAGGCTGAAACATTGTAACTTTGTAGCAAGTCACAATGTGAGGGGATGCAGCAGCGGATCATCTGTGTCAGACATTTGTGAACACAGCCAAGAACTGCACAGGCACTGGGATTTACATGATTGTGTTATCTCTGAGCCGGCGTCTCAGTCCGTATACGTATATGGCTCTTTCCTCTTAACTTTCCTTTGCTGCATGCTTGTTCAAGTAAGGGACAGCCACAACCAGGCCACTAGAATTTCTAGGAGAAGCCCCTCGTGTTTCACCCAAACAGGTGTACTTTCACTGTTCTGGGGGAAGACCTAAACTTCTGCATGAAGATCTCAAGACCTCCGCAGTCTAGTAATGATATCTGAAGCCAGTGTGTGCTCCATCCCACCGGTGTCCACCTATAACTAGCTGAGAGAACCATGTCGGCCTCCACTGTTAAGCTCCTGAAACTGATGGTGGCTTGGCTCTCCTCATGATAGAGCCAGTAGAAGGGATGCATTGATATTGGTTTTTCGGTATCGAGTACCGATATTTTTTTCCGGTACTCGCTGATACCGAATACCGATACCGGAAGTCCCATTCAGGAAGCCAGTCGGCGTGTATTGATTGGCCATCCGGCTTCCTGATTAGCAAGGAAGCCGTCTCCATGCTTCTCGTCACTAGGTAACGAGAAAGCATGGAGCCAGCTTTCTGGTCAATCAGGAAGCCGGGCGCCTGGCTTCCTGATTGGTTGGGAAGCCAGCTCCATGCTCTCACGACATGAGGCGAAGAAGGAGCATAAAGCTGGCTTCCCGGCCAATCAACACGGCGCCCGGCTTCCTGATTGACCAGCTTCCTGACCAATCAGGAAGCCGGGCAGCAGGTCATTACACGCTACCCGGCTTCCTGATTGGACGGGAAGCCGGCTCCATGCTCCCTTGTCGCCTGGAGCCGTGCTTCCCGGCCAATCAGGAAGCCAGGCAGTGTGTAATGACCTGCTGCCCGGCTTCCTGATACCAGAAGTATCGGGCTAGGCATCGGAGCATTTGGGCGAGTACGAGTACTTGGCACCGATACCAAAATCGGTATCGGTGCATCCCTAGCTAGTAGTAGTTAGTCACATTCAACTGGACTCTTTGAAGACGTTTTGTAGCTTTTCCAACCACTTCTTCAGTTCTACTGAGGGTTAGATACATTCTCCAGCATTAGTACCCACACAGGTAGCACAGACACATTAACCACCATGGGATGTGTAGATGTTGGTTGTCCCAGAACAAGATGGGAGGTGTAAAAGTTGTAGAACCACCAAGAGTCAGAGTCTTTGGATTCTCACCAGTACCATTTGTAATTGGGAGGATGGCCAATCTGTTTGGCCTCTGTTGTAGGGTTGCCAACTTTTCTTTCAGCAAAACCCGAACACTCTAACGACGCACAGAACACTTTGGGGGAGAATGAGGCTTATTCATATGTAAATATCACCGTCAAGACTATTTTCAGTGGGGGGGCGGGGGGGGGGGGCAGTAGCCCCTATCTTAATGTTGGTTGCCCCTGTCTGTCTGACATATTGTGTCCGGGTTTCTGCTGCCATGAAACCCAGGCACAGCATCCAAAACCCGGACACGCCATCCAAAACCCAGACATGCCATCCAAAACCCGGACACAGCATTCAAAACCCGCACTGTCTGGGTGAATCCTGGACAGGTGGCAACCTTAATTTGTAGTTTCACCACAGCTGGTGGGCCACAGTTACCTTTCCCTTGCACTGCCATGAAACCTGGACACAGCATTCAAAACCCGGACTGTCCGGGTGAACCCCTAGGCAGGTGGCAATCCTACTCTGTTGTCAGAAACCCTTCCTATTTCCTCACCTCTCTCCATGGACATGGCATACTCGCCAATATTGTGATGGGAAAGGGCATGTGTAGTGAACCATTTTTCATCTGAGAGTTTTAACTAAATTTGCAGCGCTAGTATTCCAAACCAATCTACAGCAATATCAATCAAATAAGTGAAGTGTTTAGGCTATTTATTGTTTTTAACACTTTGTTCACACAACCAATTTTTATCACTCACGATTTACTTTAGCACTTTGATTGTATGTTAGATTTGATTTAATGCTGTTCACCTATTCATGAACTTTGAACATATATGGGAGTCACGTATGATTTGATAATTTGACACTGGTTTTTGTGTACATATACACATGTATTCACTTTAGATTAATTAGCGCTGTGTATTTATTTTATTTTCATCGGAGAGTATTGTACGCCACCGTTTTGTATGTGATTAAAGCGGACCTTTACCTATATCTTTAAAATAACAACAAAGTCACCGTTTAAATTTTTTTTAGTTATAACATTCTACAAACGCATACTTCTAGATAATCGCCGACTTTTTATTCTTTGCACACCTTATTTCTCCCGGTCTTCTGACAGCGGCCATTTTTACTAAGGGCAGATTACTACATCTCCTTTTACTTCCTGTAACACTGGCACATGTGACTAGGACATGTGACCATGCACAGGTTCTCACGGGAGGAAAATGCGTTTCCCTGAGATCTCGTGAGATTTCCCAGCAATGCTCTGCTGATATAACCTTCACAAGATGCAATGCTTGGGCACGATGACATCATTTGTGCCAGAAGAGGACAAGGAAGTAAATGAACTCTATTTGTAATAAATTAAAAACAAGTTTGTTTAATGAATGAATGTAAGATGATTTTAAATCAGCAATCGGAGCTGTATACTGATGTGGTTTTTAGTGAAAGGGGTAGAGGTCGCTTTAAGTGTGACAGGGCATGTAAGCAGTGGTGCTATATTTATGTAAAAACACCAGAATAGAAACAGGGTAGATTTTATTTGGGGGTGCACTGAATAAGGGTTACACTGTGGGCTGCCATGGGGATAATTTGTGTTGGAAGTAAACTCTACTCTGTAAGCTGTGTATGACACACTGCAAACTGCCCCATTATGTATACTGTGCTGTACATTATATAACTCCGCTCCTGTGCTGTATGTTACATAACTTGAACTTTGTGTTTAGCTGTTTGTCTGGAGTTCAGCTTTAATATACAGACTGTGTTTGTGTGTGTACAGTGTGTGTGTGTATATATATATATGCATTAAAAACAAATGGAATTATCTTTAGCATCATCTCGGCAGCCATCTTGTTCCTCTGTAAGCTGATTGTGTTGCACCATTGCTGCATGCGTTAAGCTCATGTGTCCTCCTTTGTGTGCGCAGGTGATTCCCAACTGGAAGGAACAGGAGTGGAACACGGAAAAGCCTGAAAACTACGCCGGGATCTTTCACTTCCATTTCTGGCGGTTCGGGGAGTGGGAAGACGTGGTGATCGATGACAGACTCCCGACCATCAATAATCAGCTCATCTACTGCCACTCCAATGAGACGAACGAGCTGTGGTGTGCGCTGGTGGAGAAGGCTTACGCCAAGTACGTAGCGGCCTCCGGTCTTAGATTTCATCCATTGCTTTAATAACTCACCAACAGATGGCACAATCCTAGGGTGCAATGATGAAATAGTGTGGAAGAGGTCATTATTGATCCAACATGGAAGACTGAGATCTGCATTCTCCAGGGACCATAGAACATGACTATAGTTGACATTTTGTTAAGTCAGGTTCCCATCATGGCTTTTGCTTTTTCTTAACGGATAACTAAACCCAAGAACAAAAATATAATATATCGGAGCTTACCATGCCATAGATATGTTGGCTGCATTCGTTTTCTGTTTTCGGTCTAAGAACATATTCAGCAAGTACAGAAAGTATCTGTGGATCCTGCCAGAAATGCTTTGTCCTTGTCGCTCCCTGTGAGCTAAACTGAAAGCTAGGGATGCACCGATACCGGTTTTTCGGTAGCATAGTTCCGGCTTCCCGGGCAATCAGGGAGCCAGACGGCGTCATTACCCACCGCCCGGCTTCTTGATTCCCCGGGAAGCTGGCTCCATGCTGTTTGGCTGGCTAGATGCTGATTGGCCGGGAAGCCGACCAAACAGGTCTGATAATATGGTGACACAACCTCCACCATGCAGAAACCTCATTCCCCTCACAGGCATATTCATCCCCAGTAGCTCTCCCGGATCTGCCTCTGGTGTGTGTACAGTGCCCGCACCACCTGCGTGATCGGCCCTCGGCCTTCCACTGGGCGCACGCAGACCGCCCGGCGCTCTGTCAGAAATCTTCTAGCAGCATCAAGCAGGTGGTGCATCCGCCGTGCACACACCAGAGTCAGGTGGCGGTAGAGCAGCTTGGAGAACAGCGTCTGGCCGAGGGACATCTGTGGTACGGTAATGTATGCTGCTGAGGATCCATGTGAGGGGAATGAGGTGTCTGCAGGGTGGAGGTTGTGTCACTATATTATCAGATCTGTTTGGCCAACTCGATGCTGATTGGCTGGAAAGCCAGCTTCCCGGCCTATCAGATGGAGCCGGCCAAACAGCATGGACCCTGCTTCCTGGCTGCATGTTCCCTCATGGCACTGCTGGACAGTGGCAGTTCTGGTATCGGGGGTAAGTATCAGAACATTTGGATGAGTACGAGTACTAGCTCAAATACTCGGCATCGGCACTGATACTAATGTCGGTGCATCCCTACTGAAAGCACAAACAATGTTATCTTCCTTCTGTACACTAATAACCCCCGTCCCCCATACATTGGAGATGAGGACGTGTTTGAAGTCCAGCTTTGTGACAACCATGGCTCCTTCCATAGTGAACTAGTGAGTGTAGCCACCCAGAGATGGGAAGTGTATTACTGGCAGGATCACAAAGTGAAAATAAATCTAAAAATAAAACTAATGAAGCCACCACATCTAAGGACTGCTAAGCTGCAATATGTTACATTTTGGTTTTAGGTTTTCGCTTTTTTTTTTTTTGATATACTTAAAGGAGAACTATGAGGGGGGTGCTTTTCACTCACCTCATAGTTCTAGCCGACCTGTGACAATGAGACTGTCACAGGTCGGCTCAGTAGATCGGGAGGTGAGCGAACACATACCGGCGTTCGCTCACCTCTCGATCCTGTCACGGCTCTCTGCCGTGACAGGGGAGGGGCTGGATTCCCCCCTCCCCGCTCCGATCCTCCAGCGCTGACTGGCGGAACGGACGGGGGAGGGGGCGGGTACAGCTGGCTCTGCCTCTAGATAGGCAGAGCCAGCTGTCACTCACGCAGCTAAGCGGATCCAGACATAATTGTCGGGATCCGTTCCGACGGCGGCCTCTCAGTATACCGCGAGCTGTAGCTCGCGGTATATTGAGCTTAGGGTGACTGGAGCTTAGGGTGACTGGAGGACGCTAGTTTGTGTCCTTCCGTTACCCTAAGGAGAACTATGGGGAAAAGCCCTAACCCCATAGTTCTCCTTTAGGACCTAAAAGTGGGCTCTGCTGCATGGCCGGCATCACTGGAGTTTAATGTACCGTTGGTACCGCCCTTCCTGGGTTTTACAGAGAGCAATCAATGACTAGTCCATACTTACCAATGTTATGGACCTGCATGCAGAAATATTGTTAACCAGGTCCATGGTCCACTGTTTTTTTTGCCCGCTACCTGGTAGGTGCAGCCATATCACACCCACTTTATGAGTTGGTCCCACCCAGACCCCTCCTCTAAATATGCAGGACCGCCCACTTGCCACCTGATCCCCACAATTCATGTGCTTTTGAGATACTGTACATGTGCAGTAACTCAAAAAAGGTTGCTGTGATCGTGGCCCTGAACATTGTGTTGGTGGGACAGAGGTCCAGGATGTAGGACTGTGCTGGCATATCTGGGACAGTTGGCATGTATGCGAATCTATATTTCTAATCTACAAACCCAAAAACGGTAAACCCGAAAACTGTTTTTTCAGTATGTTTGCCATTATGTCTCACTGTAGCCAGTTTTCATAAACCTAAACAACACCTAGGTGCGTCCTTGCAATTAGCATTAGCGTTGTCAGCCTGTCATGTGAGGGCCTTCAGTTGACCATTGGGCTACCTACCTGGTAGGACTGCAAGACAGCATGTTCGTGTTGTCAGCTGGTGACCGGAAGTGCTGATACTGGAAGCAGGGCCGTAGCTAGGGCGAGGTGATTGAGGCAATCTCCTCGGGCACAGGAGCAGGGGATGCGCAGCTAGGGCTCAGCGTGGCAGCGAGAAGTGGGGCTGCACAACCTTCAGCGTCTCCTCTGGATCCTCTATGGGCAGAGGCAGCGGGGATCTGAGGAGAAGTGAAACGTTGAAGTTGTCACTTTAGGATGACCGAGCGGTGAGGAAAGAGAGAGCCGCTCGGCCAGAACCTGACAGCCGGTGGCTCTCTCTCCTCACTGCCTCACCGCTCGGCCATCCTGAAGTGGCAGCTCCCTCCTCCGCCCCTCCTACCGGCTTCAGCGCTTCACTTCTCCTTGGATCCTCTCTGCCTCTGCCCATACAGGTGGGGGAGAGAAGCGGGGATCAGAGAAGAAGCTGTAGACTGTGCCGCCCCTCTGTGCGTGGCGGAGTGGCTCAGGATCGGTAAATATCTGTCATGTACCGATCCTCTGTGTGCAGAGCAAACACTGGAGTGATCAGCTGATCACTCCAGTGTTTGTAAATAACTGGGGACAAATAGTACTATGTGTCCCCAGTTATGAATGAACAGGAAGTGCTTTACATCACTTCCTGTTCATTCATGAGTTTCTGAATGGGTAGTAGCACTCAGTACAGAGGGCTCTCCCCAGTCAGAAACTGCTTAATAGTCGATATTTTCTGAATGAATAGGAAGTCTCTGTACTTCCCATTCATTTAGAACAGAGGCTGCAGATTCTGTAAAAAAAAAACAACAACAAAAAATAAAATAATAAAAAATAAAAAAGCACATCCTGGAGGCGGGGCAAATTATATCACACGCCTGTTGGAGGGGGCACTTTTTTTATTCTTGCCTCGGGCGCAAAAGAAATTAGCTATGGCTCTGACTGGACGGATCTAAAGGAAAAAATATTTGCAACAAATTGCCAAAAAAACATTTGTAGGCAGTACAGGAATGATGCCAAACATACCGAAGCCTGTGATTACATACGGGGTAATTGGGTTATAGAAAAAAAAATACGAACTTGACCAATGGTGACTCTTCCACGTTGTATCCAGAACTTAAAAGAAAAGTATTGTCTGGAGTGAATCTTTAAAAGCGATCCATTGACCCGTGAAGCGTCCTCTTCCTGCCTCCCCTAAAACATCTTTCTCTTTGATTCCCAGGCTGACGGGATGCTACGAGGCTCTTGACGGCGGCAACACAGCGGACGCCCTGGTTGATTTCACCGGCGGGGTCTCCGAACCCATCGAGCTCTCGGAAGGAGATTACATTAACGACGCCGATAAGAGAAATGAACTTTTCGAGCGAGTCCTGAAAGTGCATAATCGCGGCGGCCTAATCAGCTGCTCCATCAAGGTCGGTCTTTATTCCGCTAATAGAGCGTTGAAATGAATGTAGAATGTCACGCCAGCGGGAGGCCGGCCACGTAACTCGTGTTAATAAGAGAATTTACCACTGCTCCTGAATAGAAATGTCACCTAACCGGGGGGGGGGG